TCTCTTTCTCCTTTCAGGGCCCTGCAGGAGAGCTTTCTAACGAGCACGGGTAGCTCACACTGCAGCACACCTAGTGAGCCTTCCAGTTTTGAGAAAGACTTGCAGCTTGCCATGGAGCTGTCTGTCCGAGAGCAGGAGGAACGGGAGAAGCAACGCCGTGAGGAGGAAGATGCAGAGCTCCAGCAGGTTTTACAGCTTTCTCTGGTGGAAAAATAACTCCTCAGCCATCTCCTGAAAACGAGGACGACCAAATCTGCATAAAACCCAAGGCTTTCAGAGCTGTCAGTCTGAAGACCACTCCTGGACTGCTTAAGTAGACATTTCACCTGCCTTCTCAGTTGGCATCATCAGCTACAAAGGAAAAAAAAGCTGATTTATTTTTGAGGGAGTTTCGGATCACGGGACTCTGCATTTGGCTCCCCAATCGTGCAGTCTTAGCTTTGAAGGAAAATTTTTTTATCTAAACGTATTTATTGAAGAGCGGATGGAAATTTTGCTTAGCATCAGGATATAGGATTGCAGTTAAAGCTTGAAACCCTGATTTCTGGGGGAGTTCAGGAGGGAAACGTCATTAACTTACCAAAGAGATACTCATCTGCTTAGTTATTTCTGAATAATTCAAAGCCATTGTCTGTTTCTTCCAGGTGTTATTGGAAGAGTATCTATATGCATATACACAGGTAGGGTAGTTCTTCATGCTGACAGTGTACCACGCTGACAGATGTTTTCTTTTAGTTTTGTTTATATGCAATTATCTCTTCTCTAGTTACTGAGACTTTATCATGTGCTCCTGCTTAAGAAGGATAATTTTATACTTGAACAGCTAATCCAAGCTCAAGATTAAACTAGCGCTTTTTTTGGAAAAAAAAAAAAAAAAGAAAAACAAGGACAAAACAAGTAGCCAGTAAACTTTTAGATCCTGAAATGGGACCATCTGTCCAGTGAAGTAGCATTTTTTGCAGTGATTCAAAACCAGCTAGTTCCTGTAGTCCGAGGGCAGCCAGAAAACAAGGGGTAGATACAGGCGCTTCTTTGCGATCCCTTGGGGTGTGTGCATGAGTGTGTGCCTGCGTGTGGGTGCTAAGTTCCAATGGCAAAGAATTCAGGTGCAGTTTTAATGTATACTTATTGGAAGATAAGTTTTAATTCTGTCACCTGAAAGGGAAACGCGTGTTGCTTTTTAAAATCCAAGTGCTCATCCTTCACGTGAATGCATATATTTTTTTATCGGAATATTTTTATTGATTTTAAACCAAGCCAATATGACTACACTCATAAAAAAAAAAAAGGTATTGTAACGATTCACAAGTACATTTTAACCAGCTTTCCTCAGGTCTTTCATCATATGAGATGTTTGTAGCTGTTTTACCTGCACTTCTGTCGGTGTTTACAGTATTCCCACTGTGACTCTGGAGTGCACTCCACAAGAACACAGTGTACATCCCCGGGAAAGCCTTACAGCAGTTAAATGTGAGCAATATTCCTCAGCTCTGGCTGGCAGGAGTGTGAGGAATCTATGGTACAGACCCTCTGACCTTGCTACCTAATCCTGCACTTGTTCCTTGGGCAAAACAGGGCGGTTCTGCGTTAACCAACTATTAACCAGTCTAAAATCACCATAAAACGGACTCGGTCGTAACCAGTGAGATGGTTGGTAACTTGGAACCCTATTTTAAACCAATAATCCATTGTTTTACATAGCAAACGATTAAAATTCCTTCCGTGTACACTAGAACTGGTAGATCTGCACCGTTTCTGTTTAACAATACAGCTTGCATCCCTAAAAATAGCTTGTTTGGTGTTGGCAGGAACGTGAACTTTCTTGCACAGTGGCAGTGGTCAGTGGTGGAATTGCATCTTTCTCTGAAAAGGGGATTACTGTGACTTTCACAGCTGGAAAAAAAAAAAGGGAATAAGCTTTGCATTGAGCTCTTGACAAAGTTGTGAGGTAGGAGATGAAACTGTGGGGTTTCTTCCTCCAGCAGAAATAAAGAGTGCTGTTGCCTTTATAAAACATCTGTCACCGGGCTTTTTTTTCTATTAATTTTTTTCTATTAAGCATCTCAAAAGTTAAAAGGGTGGGAATATCTTTCTTCAAGCTTTTTCTCTTTCTGCATTTTTATATTGTAACTAAAGAATATTGAGCAGTTTCAGTCCAAGTCTGGGACTAAAAAAACTGGTGTGGTTTGGGTTTTACTTTTTTTTTCCGTTCTGTGAAATTTGCATCATTCCATCTAAACAAGAAGACGCTGCTTCCCTCAAACTGGTGCTGCTTTTCTTAAACATCTTGCACTATATGGGTAAAAAGGATCCTCTAAGAACCAGCCCCAGATCAGTTTCTGTATCTACCTTTTTGTGGGTAACAGAGATAGAAGATGAGCAGAGGGTGGCACAGTATGTTTAATATTAATGCTGAGGCTGCTGAATAAAAGCTGAGTCCAACTTCTCTTTCTGAGGAAGCTTGAGGTTTACATAGGAAAGCAGAAGCTCTAAATACTCGTAGTTTGTTCTAAAACTGCCTTTTTTAGTTCTTTAAATTGATGCTGTTTCCACAGGGCTGTTTTGTTCCTGAAAGTGAGACCAAGTATGTCCTTCCTTGTGCTTTTGGACTGGTTGGTTTTTTTTTTTCAATGTACAACAATAATCCAGGATGTGCTTTATTTAGAAATCCTTTTTTTTTTTTTTTTTTCATCCAAAAGAGATAATCTTCATAACCAAACTTGACCTGCTAAAGTCTGCCCTACGTGTGCAGGAGGAGATTTCCTTCCCAGTTTCCTGTTGACAGTGTCTCACTAACAAACATCCATGAGAAGGGGGGGCCTTCTCCTGTCCCTCACCATGGAAAAGCGGGTAAAAAGGGCAGGATTAGGAGAGGTGGGAAAGGGAACTGCCTCATCCCTCCCTCCAGCTCCAGCCCGGTTAATAACAAACAGAACATCCATGAATAAACAAGAGTCCCGGATTGTTTACACAGCTTTTTATTGGTACAAAGGGACAGAGCAGGGAGTGAAGGATGGATGCAAACGGGAACGCTGCAACCCCAAACTGCAAACCACCTTCCAGCCCTCCACAAACAGCACAGACCCCACCAAGGACCGAGAAAAATCAGTGATCAAAAAAAGGAAAAGGCTCAGAAAGCAACAGAACAGCGTTACCTCGCTTATGTCTCGCTTAGATTAGTAACTAGAGCTGTTCTAGGCCAATCTACTGACATTTTACTCCTAGAGCAGCAGCAAAGAGCATCTCCAGCAAGAGCAGTTGGCATCCTTGGAAACAAATCCAACAGAAAACATTTTGGAGGCAGCACAAAGCTTTAGAGAACCCGTCACCCCAGTTGTTCTGCAAGTTAAGTTTTAAAAATACTAAATAAATTACTAGCCCGAAACACCCCTATGTTAAATACCAAAGTAATACTTCATAAGCACAAAAAAAAAAAAAATCCAGTTACTATTCAGAGCAGTGCAAAACAGAATAGCAGCATTCATTACACACATGTGATTTCAGTGTAAACACTTGAATTTGTTGCTGAAAATGCACAGAATGGGTCTGTCCAGAGTCGAAACACTTCCAGAGAGCCCCAGCCCAGCAGTTCCAAGCATCTGCCCGGCTTCCAGACTTTGGGAGGCTCCTGTTCCATGGGACACTGACCTGCTCAGGAGCACAGACCCACCTGTGAGGAGATGAGCGTTCAGCACAAGCTGGAGACCCTCGTCTGCACCCCAGTTTGTCCTGTTTGGGTGTGACAAGCTGGAGACCCTCGTCTGCACCCCAGTTCATCCTGTTTGGGTGCAGGGCTGCTTGTGGCTGTTTAGCTAAAGAATTAAAGCAAATAACCTCAAAAATGACAAGCCTGTCATGGCTACACCGGGGTCTGCTCACATCTGCGGTATTTCTGCACGTACCAGACCCCCCCACGGCTCTGCTTTTCCCCCCCAGGCTACTTGTGAAGCTGCCCTACAAACCCCTCGACGCCCAGCGTTCAAGCAAGGGACTGAATTAATCAGAAAGCAAAATTAGAGGTGGTGTGATCAATGTGATGGCGTTAGTCTGGCCGTGTTCTCCTGCCGACCCAGGATGGCTCCTGGCACCGATGGGAAGGGTGTCATGGCTGGTTGTGGCCCACAGCCACCAGGGATGGTCACGGAACAGCAGGGATGCTCAGCAGACACCAGGGATGCTGGTGGAACTTCCACACCAGGGATGCTCAGCAGACACCAGAGATGCTCGTGGAACTTCCACACTAGGGATGCTCATGGGACACCAGGGATGCTCTTGGAACTTCTGCACCAGGGATGCTCAGCAGACACCAGGGATGCTCGTGGGACACTGGGGATGCTGGTGGAACTTCCACACCAGGGATGCTCAGCAGACACCAGGGATGCTCGTGGGACACTGGGGATGCTGGTGGAACTTCCACACCAGGGATGCTCAGCAGACACCAGGGATGCTCATGGATCTTCCACACCAAGGATGCTCGTGGGACACCAGGGGATGCTGGTGGAACTTCCACACCAGGGATGCTCGTGGGACACCAGGGATGCTCGTGGGACACCAGGGATGCTGGTAGAACTTCTGCACCAGGGATACTCAGCAGACACCAGGGATGCTCGTGGGACACCAGGGATGCTCGTGGATCTTCCACACCAAGGATGCTCACGGGACACCAGGGATGCTCGTGGAATTTCCACACCAGGGATGCTCGTGGGACACCATGGATGCTCTCCAGCACACGGCGTCAGGTCAGCATCGCCAAAACACCGTTTTTTGGGCAGAAGGTGCGTTGCTGCCGACCCTGCTCGTACCCCTCCGTGGTTCTCCGCGGTGGGGGGTCCCGGGAATCAGTTCACCGAGCCCCCCCCCCTTCCCGGCGTGTGATTCCCCAGCCACACTGTCCTTAAATGCGCCGTCACGATGGAGCCAGGCACACGAGATGGGAGCATCCCCGGTGGGGACCGGTAACGCTTCCGCCCCCTTTCCCCCCCCCAAAAAAAAAAACTCCGCTACCGCCGCCGGAGGGGTTTGTAGACGCAGACGGCCATGAGGATGATGGTGAGGAGGAGGGCGCTGAGGATGCTGCCCAGCAGCACTGCGGGAGGAGGAGGAGGAGAGGTTAGGATCTGAGTGCATCCC